ATCCCAATGAAAGAAATAAAAATTTGTATTGTAGTTTTCACAAAAACCATGGTCATAGCACTGAGAACTACAAGAATCTCCATGATGAGATAGAGAAACTCATTCTTCACGGATATCTAAGAAATTTTGTACAGAATAACAATAATAATAATATTAATAAAGCAAGTCGGCAAGGGGAGCACGGTAAGGATGCTCCTGAGTCCAGCAGTAGGCTGGCAGAGCAGTCATAGAGGCAACTTCCAGAAGAGAGGCCAGTTCGGGGCACCATCCACATGATAGTTGGAGGTTCAATTGTTGCAGGTTGTACCTCGGCGGAAGCTCGGATGTCAGTTCGCGAAGCTGCCAGGGAAGAACAAAATCCTCCGAAACGGCCAAAGACAGAGGAACCGATTTTCTTCACGGAGGATGATGCGCGCGGGATCCACTACCCCCACGATGACGCACTTGTCATAAAAGTAAGGATCAATGATTTTGAGGTCAGGCGCATCCTCGTTGACTCGGGTAGCTCGGTGGATATCCTCTTCAAATCTGCGTCCAACCAGCTTCAGTTGCAGGGAAGTGACTTGAGGCCCGCTAATACACCCTTGGTGGGCTTCAGCGGAGAAGAAGTCAGGCTCCTCGGGAAAATAGCAGTACCTGTGGAAGTCGGCACATGGCCCAGCGTAGTCAGACTCAACCATGACTTCTTGGTGGTCGCGACCCCCTCCCCGTACAACGCCATAATAGGTCGGCCGATAACCCATGTCCTACGGGCGGTGGTCTCCACTTATCATTTGGCAATGAAGTTCCCTACAGACTTCGGAGTAGGGGTAGCGCGGGGCGACCAGCTTGAGTCTCGCAAGTGCTATGTTGCCGCCCTCAAGGGAAAGACCAAGGTGGCTAACGACCTCAAATTGGAGTGGCCTACGGAGCAAGGTGAAGAATGAGCTGCACCCACGGAAGAAACAGTTGTTGTTCCGACTTCAGCAGCAGATCCAGCTCGGACATTTCAGATCGTTGCTTCCGTCCAGGAACCCCTGCGATCCGAACTAGTAAGTTTCCTACTTCAAAACTTAGATGTTTTTGCATGGTCCGCGGCAGAGATGCCCGGTATAGACCCTAGTCTTATAACTCACAAGCTCAATACTGATCCTGTAGTTAGGCTCGTTAGATAGAAGAAACGCAACCTATCCCCGGAGCGATGGAAAGCAGTCGACAAGGAGGTCGCGAAGCTCCTCGCAGCCGACTTCATAAGAGAAGTCCACTACCCGAGCTGGGTAGCCAACCCCGCTCTGATAAAGAAGACTAATGGCAAGTGGCACATGTGCGTCGACTACACCGACCTAAACCGAGCCTGCCCAAAAGACTGCTTCCCACTCCCCAGAATCGACCGCTTAGTGGACGCGACCTCGGGGCAAGAGTTGTTGAGTTTCTTAGATGCCTATTTGGGCTATAACCAAATCATGATGGACTCGGTCGACGAAGAAAAGACTACCTTCATCATAGAGTTCGGTCTATATTGTTACAAGGTTATGCCCTTCGGGTTGAAAAATGCTGGGGCAACCTTTCAAACGCTTGTAAATAAATTATCTGAGTCATTAATTGGCAGAAAATAGTGTTATGTAGACGACATGGTCGTCAAAACTTAGTTCTCACACGAATTAATACAAGACTTGCATTCTGTCTTTCAAATTTTGCGACAATTTAACATGAAGTTGAATCCAAACAAGTGTGTCTTCGGTGTCACCTCAGGAAAATTCCTAGGATACATCGTTAACCGGTGCGGCATTGAGGCCAACCCGGATAAGATTAAGGCCATCTTAGATATGAGACTACCCCGAAAGTTGAAGGAGGTTCAGAGGTTGAATGGCCGCGTACGTCCTGAGCCGCTTTATGTCCAAGTCAACGGACTGTTGTCTACCTTTTTTTAAGGCAATTAAAAGCAAAGGGATCRAATGGACCCAAGACTGCCAGCTCGCGTTTGACGAGCTCAAGAAATACCTCGCTAGTGTGCCAATCTTAACCCGGCCCGAAGAGGGTGATATTTTAGAGTTGTACCTCTCGGCAAGTGACGAAGTGGTAAGCTCGATTCTGATAAAGGACGTAGATCGGGTCCAATGACCCATCTATTATGTTAGTAAAGTATTGAAGGGAGCAGAGACGAGATATCCAGAGATAGAGAAGCTAGCCTACGCACTGGTCATCGCAGGTTGGAAGCTCCATCCATACTTCCAGGCTCATACTGTTATCGTCCTCACCGACAAACCTCTTAGGCAAGTCTTACTTAAGCCCGAGGTCTCTGATCGATTGACGAAGTGGGCCGTTGAACTTAGCGAGTACAACCTCTAATACAAGCTGCGAACTGCTATTAAGGCCCAAGCCTTAGCAGATTTCATTGCCGAGTGCACTTTTAGCTCCAAAGTCCCCAGGCCGGTTGAGCACGAGGCCCCCAGTTCGGGCGAGCCCGGAGCTCCCAGGCCAGTTGAGTCCGGGCCCCGTGAAGTAGCAACCGGTGTGGCATCTCTCCTAGTTAGGCCAAGCGCGAACTAGGATGAGGAGCCCTGGATCCTTCACGTAGATGGCTTCTCAAACCATTAGGGCAGCGGAGCCGGAATAGTCTTGCACGGCCCAAGTGGCACGAAATTGGAGTATGCACTACGCTTCGAGTTCGCGGCATCCAATAATGAAGCGGAATATGAAGCGTTGATAGCTGGACTAGCTTTAGCCAGAGAAGTAAAAGCCAAGCACATCATCATCTGCAGCGATTCCCAGCTCGTAGTCAACCAAGTCACAGGAGATTACGAAGCTCGCGAACCAACCATGGTTGCTTACTTAGCCAAAGTAAGAGAGGCTCTACTCGACTTTCAATCACACTTCATCAGGCAAATCCCGTGGTCGGAGAACGCTAAGGCCGATGCCCTATCCCGGTTAGCTAGCACCAGTGTCACCATGAGAACCGTGTACATAGAGAACCTGCCTCGGCCTAGCATTCTCGAGGGGGCAGAGGAGGTCGCTCCCGTCGTTCAAGCAGAGCCGAGCTGGATTGACCCGCTCGCGAGCTTCTTGCTACACGGGACCCTCTTGCAGATCGCAATGCGGCCAGAAGGGTAGAGCGCTTGGCAGCCAAATACGTTATAATAGATGAACGACTGTACCGAAAATCCTACACGGTCCCCTACCTGCGTTGCTTGCGACCTATCAAAGCCGAACTCGTACTCCGCGACACTCATGAGGGTCTGTGCGGCGGACACTTGGGGGGAAGGGCCCTCACCCAAAAAGCACTATGACAGGGGTATTATTGGCCAACAATAGATGCCATCGAGCTCATCAGAAAATGTGACAAATGCCAGAAGCATGCCAATATTCACCATCAGCCTACTGCCGACCTCAAGTATCTCACTAGCCCGTGGCCTTTCGCATAATGGGTTATCGACATACTTGGACCGTTCCCGCCAACGACAGGCCAGAGGAAGTTCTTTGTAGTAGTAGTGGATTACTTCACAAAGTGGGTAGAAGTTGAACCTCTTGTAACGATCATAGCCCGGAACATCCAAAACTTCTTTTGGAAGAACATTGTGCCGCTTCAGGCTACCTCGGGTTCTAATTTCTGACAATGGCAAGCAGTTCGAGGACATCAAATTCCAGAACTGGTGCCAAGATATGGGGATACTTCAGAATTTTACTTCGGTCGCGCACCCTCAACCAAACGGTCAAGCAGAAGTCACAAAAAGAGCCATCCTCCGCAGACTGAAGGCACGTTTGGATCGAGCTAAAGAATAGTGAGCAGACAAACTACCCAGTGTTCTATGGGCTTACTGAACCACGGAGAAAACTGCCACAAGAGAGACTCCCTTCAACCTCACCTACGACACCGAAACAGTTATCCCATCAGAGATCGAAGTGCCTACGCTGTGACTGGAAGCATATAATGAAAAGACAAATGAAGATGAACTACGTACCAACCTTGATCTACTCGACGAAGTAAGGGACCTCACGTACATCAAGACTGTAGCTTACCAGCAAAGAGTAGCTCAGTACTATAACGCCAAGGTCAAGAAGCAGAACCTTCGAGTCGGTGACCTGGTCCTTCGTAAAGTTATGGTACCTGAGCCCTGCACTAGCAAGCTCGAGTCCAACTGGGAAGGACCTTACCAAGTGAAACGAGTGCTCGGGGAAGGAACATACGAGCTCGAAACCCTAGAAGGGAAACAAGTACCTTGGGCATGAAATATTGTCAACTTAAGACAGTATTACCTGTAACAACTGAGTAGACTATGAGTCACTTCCAGAGCCTAAGGGCCAAAAATGCCGAGCTAACGTGACCTCGGTGTAATAAGACCCAGTCGCTTCTATGGCATGGGCAAACTCCAAGAGTGGACTATGAGTCACTCTCAGAACCTAAGGGCCAAAATGCCGAGCTAACGTGATGGCGTAATAAGACCCAGTCATCTCTGCAGCATGGGAAAACTCCAAGGGCGGACTATAAGTCACCCCCCGGTTTATGGGCTAAAACACCGAACTAAATAACACCTCGACATCAAGAAAGACTTAGCCATTCCAATAATGAAGGCAAAGTATGAAAAGCGTAAGCAGCTCGGGTTTAAACCCTGCCAAGCATAGTTCATTTCAATATGTTGATTGAACTAAAGAACAACCGACAAGTGTATGGTTCGGGCACACATGATAATCACTTCGCTGCGCACCATAGAGATGCCTTAAATGATTAAGGGACAGTTCGAGATAACGACTATCAAGAAGTCCTACTTTGGGTATGTAGCTCTAATAGTTTGGGTGTTGAGATTGCCTTAGCAATAATAAAGAGAGCACATCATACTTGGAAGAAAAAGAAGAAATTTCATTACAAAGAAAAAATAAAGAAAATTAACAAGGCAATAACCGAGCTAAACAGCTCGGGAAAGTCTAACAACCAAAGGGCACAACCGCCCAACAAAAGATCTTTGCAAGACCGGGTTTATGGCTCCCGAGAACCACCAGAAGTCCAGAAAGACACCACCAAAGCCTCAGGGATCTGCCTCCTCGTCTTCATCCTCCAGAGAGTCGGGCTCCTCTTCCTCCGCCTGGTCCGCCATCTCGGGAGGCAGGCCCTTCATAGTGACACCGTCAAGGTTGAGTCCGGAGAATTTCTTCTGAACCAACCACCGGCAGAGTTTAAACCCAGAGCGGTATGAACTCGAGCCATATTCCACCTGGAGGTCGTGATATTCCTAGGAGTCCTTGAAATCCCAGACTGCCTTCTCTCGCTCAGCCTTCACCATCTGGTCAAAATTCTGAGTCCGATCCAGAAGAGTAGACTCCAAGTCTGGCACCTATTGCCGGAGGAGTTCCCTCTCCGCGCTACCCTCGATGACTCCTCCATATAACGCACGCTCTCTTCAGAAAACCTGGCAATCTGTGCCTCCTGGTCGTGAACGAGCAGATCCTGAGATTCACTCCCCTTGCGAGTGTGATGGAGCTCACCCTGAGTCCGATTGAGCTCACCCTGGAGCTTCTGATTGGTAGCCCTTTGGTCGATGGCATCGCAGCGGTGGATGCACATCTGGAGGGCCATAGCATGAATGGCGGTGCGGTATTCACCTGCCAAACAAAAAGACGATCAGAGGACAGCGAAAGGAAGCAAAATGAGAGAAGAAAGGAAAGAATCACTTATCACCATGCAGTGAGAGGAGGCAAACGTGGTGAGGTCCTCGGGCTTCATTTCCCCCCACTCGGCGACCTCGTCGTTACAAATCGCCCTCCGGCTCTTCCGTCGAGCCATGATGTAATCATTCACCCCCTCCCAGTTCCCCACTGGGAACCGTGGATAAGGGAATGGCTGGAGAGGATTATGGGGAGTCACCCCCTGCCGTGGGAGCTCACCCCCTTCGAAGCCAGCCCCACTAGCTCCTCCTTCGGGGAGAGGTGGCGGGATTTCAGGTGGCGAAATCTCAGGCGGTAGAGAGGATAAGACCAGCTCTGTCGATCCGAACTCGGTGCCCCCCGAAAGGGGAGTCCGATCGGAGCGCGACCTCTTCTCTCTACACCTCTGGTTGCTTGAAAGGAGGCAGTGCAAGTCGATACCAGACATGATGGCTGCCAAGAAGAAACCACAAAGTGTTAGTTCGGTAAGAACGAAGTATATGTATATGAACACGACGTTATGACAAGTACTACGCGACCTAAAAAGGCAACCTACCCAGTCTCAGGCCGGCCTGCACGAGCTTCTCCTCGGTCAAGTAGTCCAAATAGAGGAAGCCTACTGATGCCCAAGACAACATCGTTTTCTGAGTATCGGGGTCCAGCTTGACCCCGGAGTCCTGGATGGTGCCCCTCCAAGAAGTAGGGAAGGGCCACCCTTCAAGGTTGCGAACCAAAAAATAATCCCGCTTCCAAGCAGGAATTTTTTTTCAGGAGCTCATGCAAGAGCTTGTAGCCACGACGGGGAGAGAAGTATTAGAGATGCCTCTCCGATGAAGCCCCGGGGGGTGGCATTCTTTATACAAAGGATAACAGAGAAAATGTCGAGATTCAAGGGAAGACAGTATTCCCAACACAAGGATATAGTCCCAACCATGTTCCGAATGGCATTGGGATGAAGCCGATCGATGGTGACATTAAAGTGGTTTAGCACCTCCACTATCAAGGGGTGTAAGGGAAGACGTAGGGCAGCCTCGAGCTGCTCCTAGTAAATGATTATCTCATTGGGACTATGCTCCCACGGAAAGTTACCAGTGGGAAGGCAGTAGAGGAGGTCCCCAGGAAGGTGGAAATAACTAATTAGAGACCTAAGCCTCCTCCCTTGTCATGGAGGAAGGGCCGAAAGAATCGCGCTCCCTTCCCCGGGAAGTAGAGGCTCCGTCACCGGAGGTCTCTCGGGCCCCCGGGACCTGCTCCCAAGCTCCCCCCGAGCTCGAGGGAGCATCATCGTCCTGGTCACCGCCCCGATGACGAGTATGGTATGGGTACCTAGACATGACTGACAATAAGTAAGACTCACCAAAAGGGACGGGATGAAGTGAGTTGAGGAACTCGAGTAGACTTGACAGATGCGCGACCTTAGAATCCAAAGACAGCAAGATGGTGTGAGGGAAAAAGAGACCCAAAGGGCTCTCCTATTTATAGCCCCCACTCCTCCGAATCAATGGCCCAGATTAAAGCAGATCCAACGGCTCGCAGGCGTACTGACTGCACACCTTTTGAAAACCGAAAGCGATTGGTTTTACATCTTCCATGATTAAGGTAGTGACGGCTGCACGACATCCGGAGTTAAGCGCCACTTCAGCACGTTTTCGGAATCTGAAAAGTCAGAAAATCTCCCGGTTCCCGCGAATGCATTTAATGTGAGTAGTCAATCAAGTTTGAATTTCGGTCAAATCAGTCTGTCATATTTCGTGAACTCCTTGCGCTAAGGCGACGCTCTCAGCCCAAGGAGTGGGGGGCAATTGATGGAGGATGATTTGGCCCGTCCTACGAAATGGTGACATGTAGACCTGACTCAGCGCAAGTAATAGCTCAACTTCGTGGCCTATTACAACCAAGTAATGAGTCCATAAAGCAGCTCGCCGCATCGTAGCTTGTAAAGAAGGAGCTCGCCACAACACGAGCTCCGGGTTCTCCGAGCTACCCCGAAGGGGATATTCTGAGGCAACTTTAGCTTGCGAGATAGGGAAACCAGCTTGCCCAGGCCCCCAAGCAGATAAGCCATCTCGGGGACCAATTCTACTAAGGGTAACCCTGAGGTATTCCCAAGCTCGCTACAAAGTGGTTCGCAACTGCACAGCATGAGTGTTCCTCAGGAAGCTTCTATCTGACAGGCCGTATCGATCAGACTGTGCCAAGTCCCTTAACTGACGGCGTAGTCCCTGTCCTTTCGACAGTCTGCGCCCACGTCTCTCAGCTGGTGGAGGCGTGCCTGCCCCTTAGAAACGTGTCACTCACCCGGGCAAGGAGTACGTTGCAACGGCCACCTGCGCAGGGGTCCAGTGGCGGTTACGCCTGATTTGACAAGAACACCCCTATAAAAGCCCTCAAGGCAGAAGGGAAAAGGAATCTTCAAACTTTGGAGCACTTTAACATTCTCATACTCTAAACTGTACACATCTTTGCTCGCGAGCTAATCTCTCGAGCACAGTGATAAAGCGCGACCTACACTCTTAGCTTTAGCACTCTTCTTTTCTCCTACCCCTGTGTTTTGACTTAAGCATCGGAGTATTCCCACCGGGTAAATCCCCGGGAATCCTTCTTTTCCGTCTTCTCAGGTGTTGTCCATTGCCAACAAGGAGTCAGTCAGCGGACAGCTAGGAGTGCCCGGATCGTGCCGCATCATATACTGTCACATGTTACACAGAAAGAAAATGAATCAAATTAACTTAAAGTTTGCTCCTGAGTATGAGCCTAAACTATCTATTCTCCTAGATATGAGCTTAAACTATCTAATAAAAAAAGGGAACACTCAAAGTTCGCTCCTGAATATGAGCTTAAACTATCTACGAGACTCCCGAGTATGAGTATAAACTACTCGACTTCCTAAACTGCTTTATTCAAAGTTTACTCCTGGATATGAGCTTAAACTATCTACGAGACTCCCGAGTATGAGTATAAACTACTCGACTTCCTAAACTGCTTTATTCAAAGTTTACTCCTGGATATGAGCTTAAACTATCTACGAGACTCCCGAGTATGAGTTTACTCAACTTCCTAAACTGCTTTATTCAAAGTTTACTCCCGGATACGAGCATAAACTATCTACAAGAGTCCCGAGTATGAGTATAAACAACTTGACTTCATAAACAATTCAAAGTTTGCTCCCGAATACGAGCATAAACTATCTACAAGACTCCCAAGTATGAGTATAAGCTACTTGACTTCATAAACAATTCAAAGTTTGCTCCCATATACGAGCATAAACTATCTACAAGACTCCTAAGTATGAATATAAACTACTTGACTTCATAAACAATTCAAAGTTTGCTCTTAGATACGAGCATAAACTGTCTACAAGACTCCTGAGTATGAGTACAAACTATTCAACTTCCAAAATAACTCAAATTGTGCTTTCGGACATGAGCCTAAACTATCCACTAAGTGCTCCTAGATAAGAGTTTAAACTATCTATAAAGCCCCAAGCCGCAAACTACTTTATAAACTATGTCATGACTTGACCCCTCTAAGGGGTATGTAGGCAACCTGAAAAGGTGCAGCTACAAAATAAATTATTTGTATCACTCCTAGCTTGGATGAACATAAATTGTGAACGACCAAATCAAATAAAAAACAACATTTATGTATTACTTATGGCCTGCACGAGTATAAAATGTATATGGCAAAATCAAAAACAAAAAAAAAAAAAAAACTCAGCCCGCATGACTATAAACTGTGAATAGCCAAATCAAACAAAAAAAAAAAACATCGATGTATTACTCTTGGCCCGCATGAGTATAAATTGTGGACCGCCCAAAAAAAAAATCTACTTGTGACCTGCAAGAGTATGAATTACTGATGGCACAAAAAAAAAATTCTCTACTCCTATCTTGCATGAGTGTAAACTTTACAAGTTGACCACCAAGTTGGGGGGCACTTGTTGGTATGTAAGTTTTGGGCCCATGAAGTGAAGTAGAGCCAATATAGGATTAAACGAAAAGGACCTATTGGACCCACTAAGAGGAGAGAATGACAAGGATTGAATGGGTTAACGCTTCAGACCAACAGTTAGTGAGATCAAATGAGGGCATGTCGGGCCCATTAAAGATGAAAGGCTTCTTGGTAGGACCCAAAGTATCAGCCCAATTAGCCCAAGAAAACATTGGCGGGTCTAATAGAAAATTCCTATACGAGGAAAATGAATTTCTTTTTGAATTCAAATCTGTCATGGGGTCAAAAATGGGCTAAATCTTAAATTAGGATATATGGAATCTCATTTAAAAGGCAGATAAAGCATAATCGGCCAACGAAGTCGTGGTTGGTAAATGCACTAAATGATGCATGGACCATTCCCTTTGCCAAGTCCACATTTTTTTTGGTCAACAAATGGCTGCATAATGGTGGGACCTAGTATAGGGGGGCCACTAATCCTTCAACCCAAGGTAGAGTTACTCCACCAGCCCATCAACTAATTAAATGGGATTACTTGCCATGCTGAGCCCATTCAAATGCCCAATTGAATCAATCTTAGATTAAGATCCTTAAAAAAAAAAAAAAGAAGGAAATACAGTTGTCTAATAGATAGCTTAGCCGAATTTACAAAATCGTTGAAATCTTGGAGTCAACCCTTTGCCAACCCGTTTCTCTCACCAATCAAGCTTAATTGCATTGAACCCAAAATCGGTGGAGAGAATATGCTAATGGGTATGTATAGCTATTTTTGTGGGACCCCGAATTGAATGTCTGATTTTCAAGGAAGATATAGGCGGGGTCTTGAAAGAAGGTCAGTCCACTATATTTGCCTCTCGGGATGGTTTTTTTCTCCCATTGGTCTCCCCCTTTAATCATCGGGTTCGTTTCCGATCACTGCCGTTCCTTTTCAAAAAGAAAGAGAAAAAACGGATTGCACTAAAATTAAGGAAGAAAAAAAGAAAGGCTCCAACTTTTCAACTGTCGAA